ATACCAATAAACCCTTCAACCATGTCATTCCACCCGAAGTGTCTTCGCTTCACCGTCTGGAGATCTTAAGCGAGACCTTACTGGTATTCCTCAGATCTTTGAAGGATGGAATAGTCACTGCGCGAGTTTGGTCCGATCTAGACCAACAAATTCTCGCTCGCGAAAAGACTAAAGCACCGCCTTTATCCTGGGAAGAATCCCAAGCCTGGGTCCTAGAGAGCCTAGCATATTCCCCCGCGCACAGCGTCTCCTTCACTTTCGTCACCTTCATGCTTGCTCGCATCGCCAACGAAGTCGCCCCAGTAACATCTATGCCCCCGCGACAGTCCTCCGAAAAGCCGTCCGATGAACAAGCCAACCCCAACAAACAACCCACCACACCAACCGCAACAGCTGCGGCTGCCGCAGTTGCTGCCGCAGGCAATCTTCGACGGCGAACCCTCACCTTCACCTCAAACACGCCAGAACCTACAGCTAATCCCGTCGCCATCCGCCGACAAGCTGTCGAAACCGCCCTCGCGGGTTTATTCTCTAGTGTCCTTATCTCCACAAACGTCCCCGTCCCAGCAAAGGATAACCAACGGCGAGCACAGGAGGACCGGAAACGAAGTATAATTGAACCATTCTTGAAGACCATCGGGGTTGACAATAAAGGTCCCTCCGGTGGTTGGTCTTGAGCTCTTACACAATGCCTGTGCCGTATATATGCGCCCAGATTTGCGCTTCCCTTTCCCCTTGATAATCTCGGATGTTTCATATTACCTATAGATTCGAGCTGGGTTCTGTATGTATAGTGTTGTATATATACTCTTCGTTCATTGGTTTTAGGTTATTCGACGGTAACCACTGGAGACATCGTGACAATGTGGGTACAAAACATGTGTTTCGATGTTTGATTGTATAAGCTTTTCCTTTCGTAAGTTGGCGAGTATAGTACTTATTGTCCGTAGGCATTGTATACTTGGCGACGCTGTATGCTATATAGCTATACACTTCTAAATACTACCTAAATTCAAAGAAAGCCACCAAGAGCAATACAAAGCAATGCTTGATTATAGTATACCGTCCTTCCCCATCCAACCATATCGGAATCAATCTGGACAGAAATACTCACGCTGTAGCCATTGATAAAGACGTAGAGACCATTTTCGGATACCAGTCGGTCTACAATTACTCCCAGCACTCTCGGGAAAAAGTATACTATTATCATATCGCGACCTATAACCGGTCACATATATTCGCGAATGGACTTCAGTCCTTTCGCCTCTGCTGGGTCTTGCTGGGGTACTCGCCTTGAGCGTTTCGGAGATCGTGCTTTACGGTCCTGCGGCATCTTGCCTTTCGCGGGTTTTGGTAGTGGATGTAGTTTCGAAAAGAACATATCTTGAATAAACCGCAGACACCGTCTCGCGACGTGAAATGGCAGGACAGCCAAGGACATGAAAACCTGAGCAGGAAGAATAGCAAGGGTATAAAGCCACTCGAGGAGCACGAACACAGAATTTCTTGGTTTCCGTACACTAGAACGCTGCGCAGCAGCAGCTAGAGAAATGGCATCCTGGACCTGACCCTCTAGCGCATCAAGTCTAGAGTCCGTCTGGAAGGAAGTCATCGCGGTACGTTTCTCGTAGCGTCTCACAGCGCGGTTCAGGGCATCGATATCCGGTTGGACAGATTTCCGGACTTCTGCTGTGGTTTGTGAGACGAGGGAGTCTTGCGCTTGGGGCTGGGACTGTTGTTCCTGGCTGGAGGCGAGGCGCGCCGCGGCTGTTTCTGCTACGTGGGCTTCGAGCTCTTCTAGTCTTTTGGAGAGGTCCATGATCTTGCTAGCATCTATTCTGTCTTTAGGGGCTTCGGTAGATGATGCGACGACGCGCTGGAGATGGAGCGTGCGCGCTTGGACCATTCGTAGTAGGTGGGCGAAGGGTCTGATCTCTGATGCTAGGAGGAATATGGTTAGGTTGTAGTTCGAGACTAAGCCCTCTGAGGGTCGGGACAGTTTGGATCGGATTGCGTGTAACAGCCATGTTCCGATGAGCGGGAAGATGAAGCACGAAGCCAGAGCGAGGATTTCGTGGGTTTGTAATTCCCTACTAGCGGTGCTAGCTGTATCAGTCGTGCGTTTTTTAGTTGGCGTCGAGTCTTCCTTTGCGTCCTGGCTGTGGTCGATCTCTATGTCTACAGGGATTTCGATCGCATCGTAGAATTTGTCTTGCCGGATCGCTTGGGCGGAGCGATACCAATCCCTAACATACCGGTTAACAGGGGTGATATTTGGTGGGGTGGGATAGCATGGGTCTGTCTTACCATGGCAGCCTGACAGACCAGTTCAAAAAGATGGCTGCTAACACCAGCAGAGTAACATCTGTCACGACGGCGCTTCCATTCTGGAAAAAGACCCCCGCGATGGCAGGCAGGAGGGCGAGGCCCAGGGGTGCAGAATGCCAGTGCGACTCCTCATTGGGCGCATCCGCGGCGTCGTAGGAACCCTTGGCTGCGCGCGGGAAGAATAGATCGTCCGTGGAGGATCGGATGGAATTCCGTGCTTCGGAGACCGAATCTGAGAAGGTCGAGTTCCGTCGTTCATGTTTTAGATTTGATGAACAGCCCTCTGCGAAGGTGGCAGAGCGGGCCGGGCCTCGATGACGAAGATTCATGGAACCGGGGGAATGGGCGCGGGGATTACTAGTCTGATTGTTCTGGAAGGGAGAAGCTGATGGTCGCATGACTGAAAAGGAACCAGGAGGAGGAGGGTAGGCTAGACAATTGGTTGACCATATTCCGATATGCTGTGGTCGAGATCCCGATCAGGAGAAGAAAGTTGCAGCAAATTAATTCGAGATTAAAGAGGGCAGCCTGCAGTGTTGCCTCAGGTCATGAATGATTCTTCAGGTTCAGCCATGATTAAATCATGTGTAGGTCACGTCCATACATAGTACATACATACGGTACGGTACCTCATCTCATTGCTTGCAGATCCTCCTCTTACCCTTTTGCGGCAAAGCCAAGACGGGGTCAAGTGGAGTAGTTCGTGATTAAAGCCCCAATCAACTAATCCTAAACCCGAATTCAATTGCGGAGAGAATCTGTATCATACCGACTATGACGCCATGTGCCAAGAGATGCCCTCAGCTGAATGATGTACTACTAGTATGTACAGGACTTATACATACAGACCCGGATTTTCTCTGAAAACCTCCAATTTACTCATCTACATGCTCAATGCACACAGGCAGCTTACCCGTAACCCATTGCTCACAGAGCATATCCTCAAGGACGCCGTGGCAACATGTGATTGCATTACAGTACAATTCTCCAAATCGAATATCTGAAGATATATGCGCATCTAAAAACGGGGAGACATGCTGGTCGATTGATGCCCGGTCTCACGAATGGCGCGGCATATCAGGGTAACGGTACATCCTCCCGGAATGGACCGATAGTAGCCAGAAGATGTTCTCTTTTCCAATGTTGATGATGGAAACGAATCCATTTCCATACGTGCGATGCGCGTGGCCTGGGAACAACCCCGGAATAGGATGCGAGATGCCATATATACCGGAGTATTCTGACGTCAAGGCTGAAACTTTGCTCAGCTAATATTAGGGTGGAACAGATATGATGCTTCTATTCACTTAAGGGTGCCTTCTCGGGTCTTGTGGTGCTTGCAGAGTCCCATTCCACCTCAGGGTTTCGCCACGCGAGACACTGTGGATGCCACCGGCGCCAACGACCAGGTCTCCGGTAAATATAGAGCCGTCGGTGCATTCCAGTTTAGCCTGCGAAGATTTCTGATCCAAAGTCATAACGCATTTACCGAAAAGCACGCGATGTTTATCTTTTGGATTATTACAGAGAAATCGCAAAAAGTTCCATCGCGGGATAACCGCTAAATCACAACCATGCCTTATGGAAAGGAGTCTTCCTACATATATTCTATCCAACAGCTTTCCATTCCCAAGGAAAGTCGAATGACTTTAGATAGTATCTGATGCGGCCGCGATTTCCCACACCCCGAGTTGCGCTAGTATCCGTGACCCATTGGGAAGCAACGTAAATGCATTCCCTGTGGATGGCGGTGGTAAGTGATCATGAGCCTTAAGGATGGTATATTCGATTCATCGCTTGGACAAAGCGTGTGCTAGGGTGAGACCAGCTACAGAGCAGCTAATTCTGATGAAATGCATCGTGTGATCCTGTCTCTATGACGACGGACTCATACCGAGGGAAGCATACAATCGTGACAGAGAGTTATATTAGTCCTTTCCGAAGCGCAAAAAAAATGATATGTTTAGACTGAAAAACAAAAGAAAACACAGAAGATGAAGCCGTAAAATGCACAAGAATATTGAAGTTGCCCTTTCTTGTTACCTCTAAGCAACAAATATGGCGTTAGCAAACCTATCTTATGGAACACAGAAGAGGAAATATATTAAGCGGCAGCCCTCAGGTCAACTGCGAATTCTGTATATGGAGTACTGGGACAGTTCTATGATACATTCAACTCTACCTTAGTTTAGAGTTGTCTAGGCCGGTCTGATCCACTTTAAGTGAATGGTCTCAATTCCATCGCAAACTGAGAAAGTAGTTTACGTTTAGCAAATTCGTCCCCGCTTACTGGATTCATCTTTAGGTACGGCTCTGCTTTCCTTGTTTATTGCTGAGCGTGTATGATGCGCTGACGTATATACCATCTCCTTGAAGGCTCCTTAATCACACCATTCTTTCCCAGCTCAGCCACTGAGAGAAGATATAAAGAATTTGTAACATTTGTGAATCTAGCCGTCAAAGGTTATATCATTCATTTTGTGAATCAAGCACAGCTAGCATGCATATATCTGTATTAATACGGTCCAAAATATTAGGCCTGTCTAGGAGTCCTTCAATACATCTGCCATTGTCCGCTCGCCATCACATAACAACATCAGCTAGCGGTATCTTCAGTCGTTCTCTCATTGCAGCCTGTTGATAAGCCTTTCTGATATTGGTATTAGCTTAGAATGGACTCACATAATGCCATAGTCCAGCAGGTTTCTGCGCGAGTGAAGAAGTTCCATGATGACAAGAAACCGTTTTATATATATCACGGCTTTACGAACAATTTGACACGCCCTTCAAAAAAGTCCACATCCAATACCATTGATCCAAGTGGCCCCAATCGTGTCCTCGGGATAGACCGGACACGCAAGGTAGCACTAGTCGAGCGTAATACTCCTATAGACATGCTTGTCAACGCAATCCTCCCCCATGGATTCATTCCACCGGTAGTGATGGAGTATCCCGGGATAACAGTGGGTGGCGGACTCGCAGGGAGACCAGGAGAAAGTAGTTCGTACGAGTATGGTTTCTTTGATCGAACAATTTCTTGGATTGAGATTGTGATTGGGAACGGCGAGGTCCTGCATGCATTGCCAACAGATAACTCCGAATTGTTCATCGGTGCTGCGTGTTCCTTTGGAACCCTTGGAATCGCGACTCTACTGGAGCTGTAACTCATTGAGCTTCCAGCAAACCCAGTTATGGCATTAACCTATCTCCCCATCTCGGGTGTTGATGAGGCCGTCAGAAAGATTGAAGAGCTCACACCCAACCCCACATACCAGTAACTGGATGGGATTATGTTCACCAAGACCAAGGGGTTTGTCTATGCTGGGTCGATTACCAGCCTGACAGAGGGAGATCAGGTTCAAACCTTTACTTGTCCCACCGATCTGTGGTTCTACATGCATGCCGAGGATATGGTTTCCTCGCCAACAAGCCTTGAGAAGGGGACAGCATATAAGGAGCTGGTCCCATTACCCGATTACCTGTTCCGCTATGATAGGGGAGACTTCTGGGTGGGAAATTACGCTTAGGAATATTTCCTATTCCCCAAGACGAAGTTTAAGAGATGGATGCTGGACGGTACCTCCCACACAAGGGCCATGTATCATGCTGTCCACAAGAACGGGCTTTTCAAGGAGAACACTATTCAGGATGTTGCGGTACCGTATGCTGGTGCAAAGGAGCTGATTGATTTTCTGGATGGCTCGTTTGGGAAATATCCATTATGGCTTTGTCCTGTCCGTACTACAACGACACATGTCTCGGGGCTGGTGGCACAACAGCGAGACCAACCTGACTTGAATCATCGCGATATGATGCTCAGCGTGGGGGTGTGGCGGGCCGGGACCGACGGGTAAGAAGAGCTTCATCGGCTTTAATCGTAAGCTTGAGAGTGTCTTTAACATGCTTGGGGGTCAAAAATGGATTATACAGAGGAGGAATTTTGGTCGATCTATGACCATGATACAATGGATGGCTTATGACAGAAGTATTATACGTCGTACTTCCTGAGTCTGTATCAGAAAGTCCAGATCCGACCGGAGGAGGTCGTCAGGCAGCGGTCTTGGATATCAAAGCTGGGAGATTGGGTATGGAGTCGCTGGCCGATTCCAGGAGTTTATGAGTTGGTGCATACGTTCCGGCATAAGGACTATCTGTTAGTGGATCGCCAGAAACTGCTAAAATGGAGGATTTGGCGGAAGAGACGCTAGAAAATCTTCAGTACATACTTGACACGCATGTACCTCTGAACAGAAAAAAAAAAACAAAAATACGTAATCAGGTTCTATGTCGATTTGGCTACTTCCTACCATGACTTCAGTTGTCAAGTGCTAGCTTCGAGCTTGAACCTCTGAATGCAGCGACATGCACCCCAGGCGTGAACGTTCAATTAGTTATCTACGCTCTATGCCTGACCAGGCGGGATACAAGAATCCTAAGCCACCGATTTTTGATGGCCAATCTTAACTCTATCAGCACCACCTTCAAACATGGGAAACTTAGCATCGTCAGGGGACCCTACGGTAGCAGTAAGACCACCTTTGTGAATCCCCTGGCCAGCGGACAGAACCCGGCGATCCATATGTTTCCTAGGCACATTCGAAGGCAATACCAATTATCCTATGATAACCGCTGTCTACCACCTTCTACAACCGGGGCTATGTGCTCCTATGTGGCCCAGTCAGAGCCACCATGTACAAATCTTCCTGGCTGTCCGATAAACCCTACTTTTTGCTGCAAGATTGAGGCTACCTGGTTGGATGACAAAAGAGCAAATATATTCGGCGGTAGGAATTGGTTTGAATAGGCAACCCACCCTTCTCTTGTCACGTTTCGTCCAGGCTCTTGGGACAACTGGGTATCTTCTTTTCTATATTCACAGCACCCCTCTCAGGCGACAGTATCTTAGTACAAACAAAAATTGGCCTTGTTCGGCAGCTCCTTATCCTGATTTTCGTGAGTTAGCTACGACCCACTGTCTCTTAACATTGGCCCCCTTCTAACTCTGATCCAAGATAGGGCGTCTTTGAAAGCATTATTGCTTATGAACTGGTTATTTGAGGGCTTTTTTTGAGTATAAACATGCCTAAGGTTTTCCAAATTGTGGCTTGTTCGTCCTCCGAAGTATTGCATGACTAATAATGTTGTATACGTGATAGATGGTCTGGAATGAGACCGACAGCCAGGATGCGTTGCTCAGAATGTGTCGAAGCTGCATAACATTGACAAGGGTCTTGGTCTAAACATCGTGGCCCTTGCGGTGTAGGGTTGTGTATGGTTGTGTATTCCGTATCTAGATTTCGATGAAGCCAGTAATGTAAATATCCTATTACAGGGACCATTTGACTTACATGTCTGATGGAAAAGTCAATGTTTACATAGATTAGGTAATATAAAAGGCGGAGAATTGTGTTTTTGAACGATTTTCGAACGATTTTCGGTAAGCTGATTTGTTATTGTTAATACACCACAGCATAGGCTGGGCAGACGCTTCACAATTTATGCGAGAAGCTGCATGTTTGTTCTTGTATAAATACGGAGCCACGATTTATACCGTGTGTTATATACAGGGACATACGTACATACAACATCAATGATTCTTACAAATCAATTTTGATATGTCCCCATGATTCGACTGCTGCCGGCTGTGTTAGTAATTTAATGGCATTGATGTACCACCCTCTTCGGAAGTCCCGATCAGTTTTTAACTTTCAAGTGCCACTGAATGGAGGGCTTGTCATTCCTTTCTTTTGACCGTTTCTTTGAGTGAGAACCTCAAGAACACCTCGAAAGAAGGAAACCATGCCAAAGAGGACCACCCCATTCCAACATGCAAAAGCAGTACTCCATACATACAAGAGTACCCTGCCACCCTTTTCGCCGTCAAGGATAACACATTAATGACGTTCTTAGTCACCTATTCCACAAGGCCCCATGATGCGTCAACGTGTGATCCAATGTGACAGTATTCCCTGCTGGTTGGATACCTGCAGGCTTCGGGGCGGAGAGTCTCACCATGCCAATTGACCCGGGAGTAAATCGGACCAATTCTCAATCTCGGTACTTGTCCATATATTTAGAAATACCCCGATGTCTTAAATATCCGGCTTGACGGCTTATTGATGTCGATTGATTGTCCTCTATTGATCCCCCGAATGGGAATGGCCGACTGGAAGATGATGTCACCCGGTATGTACTCACTGAGGAAGCCCTATTGCTGGTCATCTAGTCAATGGCCAATCGCTTCACCATCGTTTCTTTTGATCATTGACTTTTCTTATAGGCACTAATTTAATAATTATATCTGTTATATGACGGGCCGCTCTAGTTTTTGGCTGCAGATCTCCGAAGCCAAGTTTATTCTGCAGGAACTATACGACAACTGCCCATACAGGATGTAACTGGGTCGACTGCAGCAACCCGAATGAACGGCCCCGAGGGTCTGGATTGTCGTTCTGTCTACTCTATTTCAAATGTGAATCACTCTATATAACCAGGACGTATAGTGGAAGCCCATGTTTCAGCTGCGTCTGCGTGGGACACCCTCTTCCTATATCCTACGCCTCGTCTCAACAAGACATCTGTCTCTGAAGGCCTCTCAATCATCGTGTTTCTACTTCAGTGCCCATACTTCTTTCCACACGATGCCCCCCTTTCCTTCGTGCCGAGCTCATATCCTTCTCAGTTAGTCCAGTGGCTCTGGAAGTCATTTTGCCTACCACTAACGACTGAGACGTCTATCACTTGATACCAACATTTCGCTTTTATCGGATCGCACGATTGTACTTGTATCAAAATCATGTCGGCTTCAAGCACTGATCCCTATGCCCAGGCGGTGATTATTCCATCGCTTTCTATCCTATGCATTCTGCTGACCATCCCTCCGTTGATCTTGCACTGGAAGAATAGGAATTTTCCTGTCGTTTCCCTTATATGCTGGCTCCTGTGTCTGAACTTGTTCAACATTATTAATGCATTCATTTGGCCTAATGATGATATGGATAGTTGGTGGGATGGTGCCGGTCTTTGTGATGTGGAAGTCAAGGTGATGATTGCCAGCTATGTTGCGGTGCCTGGGAATTTGGTCTGCATCTTCCGCGCTCTGGCTGGCATGATTGATACTAGACGTGCAATGCTTGTCCCGAGCAAGCAGCAACGGTGGTGGAATCTTGGCATAGATATGCTATTTTGTGTGATCGTACCCGTTGTGGCAATGGCCACACATATAGTCTACCAGGCGAGCCGATACATTCTGATCGGCATCTCGGGCTGCGTTAACAGCTTTGATGAAAGTTGGGTGAGCCTCATACTGGCATGGATCTGGCCTCTAGTGATCTGCCTCATGGCTGGCTATTATTGCAGTACGTTAACACCTGTCTGCGGCATCCTTGGTCCAAACAGCTAACAGCCTACCAGGCCTTGTGGTTTATCGTCTTCACAGGTACCGAAATCAGTTTGGTGACATCCTACGGGCATCAAACAGCAACTTGAACAAATCTAGATTCATGCGGCTATTCATACTTTCCTTCATTGTGCTCCTGGCTATTCTACCGGTTCAGACATACGTTGTCTACAAGAACATAGAACTTTCGCTGCCGTGGCACTCTTACTCATGGAGTGTGGCACATGGACCATATTGGAATAGAATCCAGAAGATACCATCGGGTGGTGAGGCCTTCTTCGACCGCTGGTTTCCAGTTGCCTCGGGGTTCATGTTATTCATCCTCTTCGGCTGTGGGAGAGACGCTTCCAGGATGTATGGTTCATACCTCCGCTTGCTGCGCCTGGATCACTGTTTCGTCAGAGTCCACGACTCTTCACCAGATACATCCCGTTCCCACACTTCGGGTTTTTCCAACAGCCGACTTGGACTACTCTTTCATAAATCATGGACTTCTACAGCAGGGTAAGGATCAGCTGCATTAGCTATAACGAGTTATGTACTAACTATGGCCTTAGAGCTTGTGCAGAGAACCCTGATACTGCGAATAGTATCGATAGGAGCTCTGATGACGTCGAGAAGGGCAGGGTCTCTTCGCCGAAACCCCAGCGAGGACAAACTATGTCGTGGCTTAAGCATCCTTGGTCAATTTTTCACCGTCCACTTCACCGCTCGTCTACCTTTAGTGGCAAGAGAATCTTATCCCAGCCTAATCTCTCTGCCCCGTCAAATACAGTTTCCGCTAATGCATGGGCGGGCTCCAGCCAAAGCCGGGGGAGTAGCGATCTTACCTTTATGCCTGGAAGGGAAGCCTTTATCCGAGTGAAACGCGACATCAGCCAGGAGAGCGAAGTGCGAAAATGAGGTCGTATAATACTTCTGAGACAGGCCGTTTACCTAACTGGCCAACCCAGGTGAAGTACCTGCACCCCGGGATTTTAAAGGTCTCTTACTTTTCACTCCCACTCGTCCGTTGAGAGTGCTTCATGTTATCTTCTAGTTGCCTTGCTTTTTTTTTTCTTCCCGTCTAGATGTGTGGCTGATGTTGCATTAAGTTTATAACGTATGACCTTCAATGGAGAAGCTGGGTTTAGGTCTGCGATGAGTCTATTGCTTCTGTTCCTCCAATAGTTAAATAATTCAATATGCTAGATCTAATCACTCTCTAAGATATGACTGAAAGGCTTTACTAGTTTATTGACTGATCTGGTATGTGATATGCCACAAGTAACAAATAGCATGACTAGCATGCACACCATCATAGATAAGCAGGTCGACCAACGCATCGGACGCGTCAGATCCATTTTAAGCTTGTCCCAAGAGAGCCGCGAAGCAATATGATAAAAGAGCGCTAGTATTCAAGGGTATACTTGTACAACAACTACAATACAGAAGCCGTATGATCCAAAATATAATTAGAACATATAATGGCCGTTTCACTTTCACCGATAAACCTTACAAGGGATCACATCAAGCCTCTGATCTTTGAATATCCGCCCTTCAAGCTAGTATGTAGTTCTCCTTGTGCAAGCTTATGTTCGGCCGGCAAAGCTTTAGGCAGACTCATTTTCGTTAGGGTTGGTCGGACGTTTGAGGACTTCGAGGTTCCCTGAATAGTAACACGGAAGTTAGCGTAATCCGACGGATTGAGTTCGTCTTGGACGGGAGTCTTACGTTGAACAATGTTTAGAGAAGTCTGCTTCTTGCCCTCAGCATCCTCCCAGTCCCGCAGGCTGGCGCTTCCCTCGAGGTAAACAAGGGTTCTGACAAATATGAAGAGTTAGCACCACATCTTAACACCTTTTCCTATACCTGCATTACAATCAAACATATAACAGAACTCAAATATAGATAGATATGCGCGGCATGAGAATAAGGTCGATACTACGTACCCCTTCTGCAGACTCAGCACGTAATCGCGCTGAGCCCCCTGGTCGAAGCTTGCGACCTTAAACCAGCTTGTCTGTCGGTTGTCGCGGGCCCCGGTCGAGGTAGCAACGGTGTATCTGATAACATCCTGCCCAGATGAGGTGGCCTGCAGCTCCGGAGCGGCGGCCAGACGGCCGGTGATGATCATACGAGCTACCGAACGCGAGGAGGAAGAGCTGAAGGAACGCGCGGAGAGAGCTCCGCCGGTGGCGGTGCGCGTCAATGGGCGTAGGAATGAGGCGAAGGCAGACATGGTATGGTTGGTGTTCGGACTCTTTGCCTTTGAGCAAGTATTAGGGATAATGGTCGGTGAGAATAAAAAAAAAGAATCGGAAGTAAAATGTCACAGCTTCTCGTAGGTGTTTAACTGCCATTACGTTCCTCTGCTTGCGCGATTTGCAGTGCGGTGTGGGTCTCACGTGATGGATAGGAGCGATCATTGGGTATTCTTTGGCTCCTCATCCATTTACCTTATCTACTTCCTGTTCTACTTTGTACATACTATGGATTGTTCATGGGGTACCTTCCCGTTCTTGTTCATGGGACGCCTATCTATTCTTCCCCCATCCAAGATATGTCCACCTTCTGCTTAAAAGAAGAACTAGACAAAAGTGATACCATGACACTCTGTAATACAGAGAATGGTGACCGAAGTAACACCTTTGCCTCCCATTCGCTTGAGGGAGGCCCTGGAGTGAGCTGACAGTTGCCATTTTCGCCATGATTCTTGGGACATGCATGCATATATCAATCGTAATAAACTTTTTACCACTGATAATATGCTACTGATCGTATCGCCAACAGTGCGGTCAAGGATTCATTGGTGTTCATGCATTTATGACATGTGAGATATCAATTTCATGCATTGACCGTGACAGTAGGCTCGTCTTTTAACTCAAACCTTGGTATAGTGGTGTCCAGGTCATTTTTACTCGTGCCGTGATATGTTCACCGCATCGCGACCGTGCATTCCATTATTGAAAAGATGCGTTGGGGATTGCGACTAGCAGGTTCTGAATAAATTTCCGACTTGATGGAGTGGGTTGACAGAAACGAGAACATGCTGAGGGGCCCGCCATTTTGGAGGAACCGGTGTTCGGTTAACTAAAGCGACCACCTACCCTGGGTCTTACTCCTGACTAAGTATGCATCTCCAAGACTCCAACCAGATCTCTGTCCCGAAGATGAGCATGGTTCCTGGAGAAAGGATCTAGCTCGGATGTTAGTGTGGCTTCTGTCCTCCATTGAGCGAGCGGTGCCTTGTGATCAAGGTCATTGTGTTTTGATCGTGGAGGGTGATAGGCTGAAGAGATGTTCGTGGGAGAAATTAGACCTATCGCCTCATGCAGCCGATCACACGCCCTAAACCCATTCTGAGGGTTGCTAGTGCTGCTAGTGCAATGACGGCCCCGAAACTTGGAAGGTTTATAACAATTTAGTCAACGATTAACGAACTAGTAAGCACAACTAGAGGCCATAGCTAGGCGAGACCTTCACTAAAGCACACTACGGGGTACTCTCTTAACTCAATCCTTTACCATCTTCGCTGAATCATGATTATCAGCTCAGCGTGGTCGTGCCACGTCAGACTTGCGATTCCGTCAGATTGCAAATTGGCTTACCCTGTGCGTGTGATTTCCATCGCATCCCGACACCATGCTATTGCTAATCTCAAAGAGCACTGAACAATATTCCGATTAACATTCAGCCTTTCGAGGCGATAATTCTCCTTACAGACTTAGTTCGGTCTATCGGACGCCATCGTGGATCTCCCTGAAGTCTCTTTAGTTTAGTTCCTTGAGTGGTGCTCATGGCCTGCGAGCTTATCCTGATGCGATATAGTCGTTCAGCTGTCGTCGCCATCATGAACTCAATTGCCGATCCCACTAGATCACTCAATTTACCACGCATGTAACCGCTATCTTTTTACTTCCGATGAGTGGGCCGTCTTACGCCGTTCATCCGTTTAGTCCATTTGGTAATATGGCTTGCTTGGACCTCTACTTGTGCGCGCTAACAACGCTATTTACGGGGTACGGAGTTCCCGGGTACCAGGATCTAAGTATGAGAGCTCCTTTTCGGTTTTCATGCATCCATACTAGTACATACATACGATAGAATATACATAGTGGAGACTAACCAACTAGGGCCCACAGGTCCTGCTTGTTCTTCTACTGCTCTAACCACGTTCCCTGTTCTCTATTGCGTGTTTCCATTTCTCCTCAATAGTTAAAATTCGCTGCTCATACTTGACCGTCCAATGTACATGAAAGGATATGTAAGTAGAGGCTACGAAGGGACTTTCTGCAGATTCTTGAGACCCTGTTCTGGTTTCAGGTCAGGCTACTCTTAATTCCGTTGATGTTGCTCTGAGACCCTGAATACACCAATCCCCCTTCACAAGATGCGGCTGCTTCCTTTGCTTGCACTTCTCGTGTATCTTGTGCCATGTCTGTTCGTGTTTGCGGCACGGATACCTCACAGTGAGGGCAATAAGTATGGGAGCATCGCCATAATAGAAGCTAGAGCAACAGACCAAGCGACTACAACAACAGCAGATGCAACCACTGGGACAACAGCGAGCGCAACTGGCCATGCGACGGCCACAGCCAATTCCACCTCGGCGTCGAATACAACCACCTTGGCCACTACGGCTACAGCGACTTTGGCTACGCCGGTCCCAACTGGTAGTGAGTGGAAAGGTCCAATCTATACTTCCTTGTTCTCAATACTGAGGCTATGCAGATGAAACGACTCCGATCGCACCTGGTGCGCTCCCTTTGCAACCTACGATAACACCTGCGTTGGGCATCGGTGGCGTCATTTTAATCGCCGCCGGCGCAGTCCTTGCAATAATAGGAATACGAAATCTATGGTAAGATTTGATGGCTTGATCACGATTGGTATACATAACTCACCGTGCTCAGGATCCAAGTCTTCTTATCAACCGCTTTCTTAGCTGGTATTGGAGTAACTGTGAGCTCCACTGTCTGTCTCTAAGTGTGACATGATTCTAATCTACTTCGCCCTTGTAGGTTCTCATCGTCTACGTCATGAATCCCCCAGTCCGTGTCGCAGTTCAGGGCGCCTACCTCGTCGCCATTTTCTTCACAGGAGTGACTTTTGGAGCATTATCGCTTGTATTCAAGGAATTAACAGAGGGGCTTGGCTGTCTTCTAGGTGGATTCTGCTGCAGCATGTGGCTTCTCTCCCTTAAGTCAGGCGGCCTTCTCACACAAACGGATGCCAAAAGCGGGTTCATTGGCGCTATCTCAGTCGCATTCTATGCCCTGTCATTCAGTCACTACACCCGACCCTATGGACTAATGGCGTCAACTGGTATTTCTGGAGGTACTGCCATTGCATTAGGAATCGACTGCTTTAGTCGTGCTGGTTGGAAGGAGTTCTGGCTGTATATTTGGGGTAAGTATTGTCTTTCACTCCAGGTAATACTAGGATCGTTCCTCTGACCGATTTCTAGCTCTGAATGACGATATTTTCCCTTTGGGCACAAGTACCTACCCTGTGACTCGTAACATTAAAGTTGAGCTTGCTGCCACAGTCATTATTGCCGTCCTAGGTGTGATCTCACAACTCAGGCTATGGAAAGTAATCCGGGAAAGAAGGCAGAAAGAGAATGAAGTTCGCGAGAAAGAGCAGAAAGAAAAAGAGGAAGCCGAGCTCGAGATCGGGCGGAGGTTCGAAGAAAAGAATATGGAAGAGCGTTTAGAATGGGAAGCCAGACATGGCAATCCCAACTCCGGCATTCCAGAGCTTGCAGACAATTCAAAGAGCGATTGTCCTGGAGATCACGCAGTCGATGTGGAGAAAGGCGGTACAGTTGACACGTCAACTGTTGCAAGCTCTTCACAGGAGTCCTATCGTTGCTCTGATTGCTTAGAGAGGCGAGCGAATGGTGAATCTGCGTATGCTGCTTCACGCACGAGTGGGTACACTGGAGATTCTCAGAGTCGACAGCTAGAAGATACCACGGTGGGAGTCGAGACAGAAGACCAAGACGACTCCTCTCCCGACAGAGGAAAGGCCCCGCTGAAAGTGTTTGATGGGGCAGCTGCAGCCAAGATCAAAGATGACAATAGCTCTGATATGACAGCTATCGTTGGCTCCGAAGCAGGAACAATACGATCCAAGCGGCTTTCCGGGAGAGACCTATTGGACAGAGTGTCTGCGAAAAATAGCACAAGGCTTATGTCTCAGTCTCAAGAAGCGCTGGTCTCCTGCGATGGTTCATCCGTGCAAGACACCGTAGACAGAAGCTCTGCCGCCGCCTCTGATAGTCACAGTAATGTGGTGAGAAATAATGTGGAAGAAGAAGATGGGCTTGCATCTAATCCGGAAGATGCTCCGATCCCCTCTGCTATACAGGAAGCTAATGGTAAGGAGGCACCCAGGCCTGAGAAAGAAGTTGAAAAAAGTGTCGGGGAGCCTAGCGTCTATTCGCGTGGGGTAGACGAGCAAAAGTTCGGTGAAGTGGAGCAAGAGGGGGACAAACAAGAGATGAAAGAGGGTATCCCAAGAAAAGAAAACCCTAGTGACCGCCGCCCGTCACTATCATCAGCCCAGGAGAAGAACATACCCGAGCCAAAACTCGACAAGCAGTCGACAGAAATGCTTCAAGAAACTGAGATGACAGCCGAGACAACAGGGCCCACAGACCAGAATGGCGGCAAGCCGCAGGTCATTGGGTCCAATGTAAATGGCTCGGTGACAAAAGATCAAGATGAGAAGCCAGTCGAAGCCAGCCAATCAAGGGGGTCTTCGCCCAAAGAATCCCCTCCAAATACTAAGGATTCTGCCCTTGTCAAGCAGAGATCTTCGAAGTCAGGATCCGAAATCAAGACCAAGCTTACGAAAGAAGCACCACTTCGATTGGACACAGAAACTATAAAACGACTTCCACAACGAACATCAAGGGTAGTACAATCCTATCGGACGAATGAGTGGGCTAAGCATTTGGACGATGCGGAAGTTCCCGAACCTGAACCGATCGAGCCCGTCGAAGAGGACGAACCCGAAATCCCTGATGAAGTTAAAGAGGCCGCTGCACCTGTCAAAGTAGAAGAGCTACTGCAAACACCTTTGAATGCGCAGCCACCGCCTGCTGTCGAGAGGCGTGTCTCTATCGCCGAGCCACCGGTTACAAAAGAAAATAGCCAGATGCCCAACGACTCTCAGTTGCAGTTCAACTCTCGAGCGCATAAGAGAGCAGTTTCCGGGTCAACTGTCTACTCGGAAACCAAACTTTCTCATTCTGTACTTCCAGGAACCCAAGACCAACCAGTCCAGGGAGTTCCTGATTCTGCCAATACCTACGACGCGGTATCTCCTACAGTCGACCCAGGGCAACCACCACGTGCGGAGGCCGAGGTTGCGAGACCCCAGTGGAAAGGGCCACCCCCTCTCATTGCAGTGCGCGAGGGCATGGTGCGAAACAGGCTGTCGTCTGTCTCGCTCAGTGCTGACCCCTGGCCCTCAAGGTTCGTTCAGGGAGCCGAGGTTTCGCCCCGACAATCAAGCTTCCCCATCCCCGAAGAAGCAGACGACATGCCTCTCTCCCGACGTCGCACACTGCTGCATCAGCAGATGGCTGTGCAGTCTAATGTAAGCCAAGCTCCCTTGAGAAGGGGTGCATCAACACCATTCAACACGCCAAGTTTATTGCCGGCACGGCGGGAATCTGTACGAGAAAATGTATATGACAGGCGAAGTCTCCCGGCCCGGAAGCCTCCAATGACCAGTCAAGGGATGGTTGAGCGGAATCCAACCTCTTCCAAGAAGCTGCAGGGAAGAGCCTCATCAGCCAAGTTTGAGAACGCGATTGCGGAAGGTATGCAGCGAGGAGATATGACAGACTTGCATCGCGAAGCGTTGCGACGGATGCAAGCCATGGCCTATCGAAAAGTGAATGGCAAATGACTCGTCTGCGCTTCGGTTGGGCTTGCAGCAGTGAGGGTTTCACGTCGTTTTTTAATGATTTAATCATGTCTGTACGCATTTCGGAGTTCCGCGGGACGGTGTTCAAAACAAATCTTAATGAGTGTTATATAGATGGGTCCATGAGTGACTAAAAACTACAGTACCCAAAATGGATTAATATTGAGTAATCTTGAGAACTAGACCGTTTGCTCCGCTATATGCAGTATATATAGTACATGGATCTCAGTGTTAGTTGGATCTGATCGACTTCAGGAGCAAAGGTCTCTCACTAAACAGTACTATTGAAAATTGGTGCCCTAACTTACGGAGTACGGGCTAGTTCACTGAACTTCACCGACACAATGACGGGTTAAACGGCGACTAATGAAGGAGCGGCCAAGAAGACAGTTTAAGGTCCACCATTATAATTAGCAGCAAACAACGCCAGGGGTCTCGGTCTTGGGTGCATCTAAGCTCCCGAGCTGGACAAAGAGAGCAACGTCGTAATTGCTTCAGGTTGATTGAGGGACAAAAAAATCTACGGCTTGTCGGGTACGGGAATGCTGCCCTACGGGAGCTTTTAGACGTATCCATCCTGGAAATGACTGCATAAGAGGCGTCTTAATCATGGTCGGAGTGTCACACATAATGTTATTAATCTATGCTATATGACATATGATGCAGGTCGTTTAACTGTCCTAGATTTCTCTTTAATTTTTAATTTTTTTTTTTTTTTTGCTTTTTTTTAATATTTTTTATGTTTATTTATCTTTTTATTTACTCCGTTTTTGATTTCCCGCTGCCTGTTCTCCCGTGATAGAAATGCCCTAAGGGAAAGGATTCATGAGTGACACAAAGGCTTAAAAGCCTTACTTTCTGGTTGGGCTATTGATCCATTTATTGTTTCGTCAGGGGGGTGTGATGCTTCCGGGATGATGAGAAGGGTTATTTATTTATTTAAAATAAAGATTAAGATCCCGTCGCATCTGCCGTTCAGTTTACTTCTCGTCCATTGATTGACTTGATTTTTGTTTTTCTTGTTCATGTTGTCCTCGTCTTGTTTTTGAATCTAGCTAGGAAATGGGCTCATATTGACCCATACGGAGTACTTAACGACGAGCTATAGATCCGCCGAAAGATCCGACGAGAAGAACTATTGAAGTGAAAATCCACGGATTGAACGTACGATAAAGAATTCTCAGACTTCACTTACTTACCATTGTCACTACCCATAGATATTTTCATTTCTTTTCTAGACAGAGCATATTGAGGGCAATACTTTTTTTCTGCTTCTTAGCGACTAATGTCGCGCTTTGACCGAATCGTGACCCTTGCCTTGCCCCTTTCTGCCTCTCACCCGCCAATCAGCATCCCGCCTCTGTCGCTCATCGATTCGTTGCTGCTTTTCTTCTCTCAGCAATCTTCACCACGACGGCCCTTCCTGTCACCGTGTCTCCTCCTCCTTCTCGTCTCTCATATATTCTCGACTCGTCGCCCGTGTCGGAAACGGCGTCTTTCGCGGCCCCTCGGGATCCTCCTCTTATATCCCCGCCCGAGGCCGAAGAGTCTTCCCTGCCCCCGCGTGGCTATCGAAGCCCGCGCCGTTCGTGGGAGTCCCACCAGCGTGCATCGTCATCGGCCTATCACTCCAAGCCAACGAGCTCCTCCCGATCCATACCGCGACACAAGGGTTTTTGGACTCCCTCCACCATCTTACGGCCTCCCTCAGTTCGACTCGCGAACCCCGTCAACTACGTCCCGCGAATTACGCCGGTCACCGTCCCCCATCCCTTCCAGAGCTCCGAAGAGAGTCTCTGTCTCGAGGTGCACCGCGACGCATACCCTCTCCTGTCGATTCCCGAGCAACGTCGCAGCCGACTCACCCCATCCCCGAATAGTCTAGTGGTGGAGCGCAGCCAGGGGGAGACCGAAAGTGGGCGCTCCAGCATCGCAGTGCCTCGAGCGCAAAGGCGCAGTGGTACCTTCAACGAAGATTGGCCATTACAGGAAATGCCAGAATCGGCTGGAAATCATGGGAGTCCGGAGGCACATGGTATTCGTCCACCCGACCGGGCACATCTGACCCTAGACCCCGTCGTCGACCGATCGAATCCCCTCGATGAGCGCCCCCGACATATACAATCACAGGCTTCTCTGCGGTCGCAAGCACAGATCGCTTCAATACCGTCGCATACGGGGCAACACCCCGGTGGCGAAGCCGACGTGGCGGAGGAGTTAGCCTGGGGACCAGCCCACCCGTGTTACCCTCATATCAACCCGCATGTATCAGTGAGGTCCCAGGAGTATCATACGACACGCATTATTCGTATTCGTCGAGACTGGATGGTTAGGGGAGATCTGGCCCCGACGTTCTCCAACTTGTATCCGGAGATTCTCGATCCGTTACTGCCTGAGCAGGAGTTCCGCAGGATTATTGCTACGGTCAATGACAAGCTTGTAAAAGCATTCGATCCATTCAGCCTTCGGAACTGGATAGATGGAGCACTGGCGTTGTTGACCGGGTGGATCTGGGAGGATATAGGGGCCACGGGAGTCAAAAGCCAGCTCAAACAGATAGAAGACTGGGTGGAGAATTGGAACCGTGAGGTCGGCGCAAAGGATGGGGTATATATTTGGAGTCTTCGACGGACGGCTTACATGTCGTTGGACATACAGATTCCTGACCCCAAGGTTGGCATCATTCCCAGTGAGCGTGGGCCATCACTGCCCGGGACTCGACCGAGCAGTGGTGTATAGTCTTACGGCTGAAAGGTGGGACGATTTAGGACTTGATGCTTCGGAGTCCTATTTTTATTCTTTATTCTTCTTTTGCTGTATTCCTTGATTTTAACCCCATTTTTAATTTTTGCTTTCTCCCCTGCGACCTGCAGCTGCACGATTCTAGCGACTTGGGATGTTCTTCTTGATTACCCTTCCTTCTTTTCGATTTGACGATATCCACGTCTTTGATTTCAGATCGTTGATACCATGTCTCTGAGTTTGCCCCAAACCCCTTCTGGCTTTCACCTGTTATGGGGTAGGAGTTCCTGTTTATATTCTGTATACTGTCTGTGTCTATAGTTTGGTTCGTTCGGTGTATGTCAGATATGCCGGTTGTGCATAACGAGAGGGCTCTGAACGCCAGAAACAGGTTAGAAAAGAATAATAGTGAATATGGAAATATATATATATATATATATTTTAAAAAAAAAAATCATGATTGAGTGAATAAGTGCATGAGTGACGATACACAGAAAAGCTGTAGTCGAGATTCTTATTATTCGCAGGACGGGGGTATTTTAATATTTCAAAATAGGGACCGCAGCTAAATTAATTCCCCACGTCTCTCAGTCCAGAAGCTTACTTCCACTCAACGCAGATCTCTAAACCCAACTTTCCACCCCCGAACTTTTCGCGACCTCCCTAACACTTCCCCTTTACTCTCCTCCCCTCCCTTCTCCCCTCCCACTCCTTCACAATGCTCTCCGGTATCCTAATTTTTAATCAAAAAGGCGAAAATCTCATCTTCCGTGCCTTCCGCAATGACTGCCGCCCCCGGTTGGCCGACATCTTCCGCATCCAAGTCATCTCCAACCCGCAAGTACGCTCGCCCATTCTCACGCTAGGATCCACGACGTTCAGCCATGTGAAGCACGAGAATATCTACCTGGTGGCGGTGACGAAGAGCAACGCCAATGCGGCGCTCGTGTTTGAGTTTCTGTATCGGTTGGTGATGCTGGGGAAGAGCTACTTTGGAAAGTTCGATGAGGAGGCGGTCAAAAATAATTTCGTTTTGGTTTATGAGTTGCTGGATGGTGAGTTCTTTCTGCACATTGTTTTCTTGTGGGTTATGATATAGCTGGGCATGTAGGTGGTGGGGTGAATGTGGCATGGAAGCAAGGACTCTAGGAAAAGGGGAACCAACAGACAGACAGTGAGGGCAGATAGCTAACAGGTATGATCCAGAGATCCTCGATTTCGGATATCCCCAAAACACGGAAACGGACACCTTGAAGATGTACATCACGACGGAGGGAGTCAAATCTGCCATCACCAACAACCCCACCGACTCAAGCCGCATCACCATGCAAGCCACCGGTGCGCTCTCCTGGCGTCGCTCCGATATCAAATACCGCAAGAACGAGGCCTTCGTAGACGTGATCGAAGATGTCAACCTCCTAATGTCAGCGACTGGCACCGTGCTCCGCGCCGACGTCAACGGCCAGATCATCATGCGCGCCTACCTCTCCGGCACGCCGGAGTGCAAGTTCGGCCTCAACGACCGTTTACTGCTCGATACCGATGCGGCTGGTGGCTCAGAATCCGGTAACCGGGGCCTATCAACGAAGGGGACTCGCGCCGCGGCGGGCTCCGTCACACTTGAGGATTGTCAATTCCACCAGTGCGTGAAACTGGGCCGTTTCGACGCAGACCGAATCATCTCATTTGTTCCGCCGGACGGCGAGTTCGAGCTCATGCGATACCGCGCAACGGAAAACGTAAATCTTCCATTCAAAGTACACCCCATCGTGAGGGAAGTGGGTACGACGAAGGTCGAATACAGCGTCGCCATCAAGGCGAACTATAGCTCGAAGCTCTTCGCGACGAACGTCGTCATTCGCATCCCTACGCCGCTCAACACAGCTAAAACCACCGAGCGTACCAGTCAAGGTCGTGCCAAATACGAACCCGAACATAACAACATTGTCTGGAAGATCGCCCGTTTCTCCGGTGGAAGCGAGTACGTGCTGACGGCCGAGGCAACGCTCACCAGCATGACACATCAGAAGGCTTGGAGTCGGCCGCCGCTCAGTCTTTCATTCAGCCTCCTTATGTTCACAAGCAGCGGACTTTTGGTTCGGTATCTCAAGGTCTTCGAGAAGAGCAACTATAGCAGTGTGAAATGGGTACGGTATATGACTCGAGCAGGAAGTTATGAGATTCGGTACGTTCTTTCATCTCCTCCTTTCCGTCCCCATCGTACTACCATTTATAATGAGGATACTAACGCTACAATAGATTCTAGCTTGTCACTGCAGGCCAGGCAGCCAGATTCACCATTCATCTATACCATTAGCAATGGCATTATCAACATCATTATCAATATCAATATCTATTAACTAACCATGAGCTGGGTGTATGGCGTTGTGGTCCTTGTTCTTTCCTGGATATGTACTGTATGAGCGAGACTATAATTGTATAGTTTTCTGTGGAACCTTTTCTATAATAAACGTTCAGCCCAATTTACTACCGCTTTTTGCCCATTGGAACTTATAGTAAGCCCTAGAAATATCAACAAGAAGAACTAGTCTTTCCACCCCTCAGGGGACAGTTCCGAGTCTATCTATACGTAACACTTAAGGTAGTCTAGTCATGTTACATCCACTCAAATTCATCACATTCAAAAAAAAAAGTATAAACAAATAAATAAACAATCATATCAGAACTTAGCCTTTGTTTCCCAATATTCATCCATCTACCCGGATTAATATCTACAAGCTTAAGTACACTACGAAACCATCCCAATACTGCAGTAGAAGAAGAAACCTTGATTGTGCACTGCAACCCATTTATTCCCAGACATAAAGACCATCGTCCATATAGTAAGATAAAAAAAGCAACTAATAATGCACACCATAGTACCGAAGGAAAGGAAGAAGAAAAAGACAAAGGTAAATCATACAAGAAATCGATGGTGTACAGTCGATAACCCAAGTCACTAGCACGTAAATAATACATAGAACTCATTAGGTGAACGGAACGGAAGAAATACAGAACCAGACGATCTCAGTCCAGAAGCGACGGGGGATAAAAGACAAGCGTGAAGAAGAGACAGGGTAGTAATACATCGGTGTGGAGTTGAAGAAAAGCGAACCGTGAGCCCGTAGAATACATGATACCGGATGTCCATCAAAGATGTTCATAGAAAGGCGAAAAAATATGAGAAAGGATAGAGGGAGAGGGAGAGGGAGTCGTGAGAAGAAGGGCATCTATAGCCATCGAGGACGAACTAGTCGTCGATCTACTAATCCGACATTTCCCTCTCCCACGAGGACCTGCCATCGACGTCCGACGCTGGCATCATCTTTGCCCATGCGTCGCGCGCAGTCCTCTAGATCTCGCTGGGAAAGCTGGAAATTTTGGAGAACTAACTCGACAAGTCGCTGGTCTTCGTCTGCGTTCCAGGTCTCGTTTGACGGACTTTCCTGTGTCTCTTCGATAGACGGCAATACTGCGTCGGGATTAAACAATTGCGCACTTTGCTCGGGACTCAGTTCCAGTTGGCGGCAATGCACAGGCGACGGAGGCGACTGTGATATGGGTGGAGAGTGAAGGGCATAGAAGTCTGATTGCGAGAGACCCAGAGGAAGCTCGTAGGGGGCGTGACGAGTGCGCTTCGGGGTTGAGAATCGCATGCCACGAGTAGTGATTTCTGTGTCGCTGGTGTCATCGTTTACCTCGGAGCGATCGCGCTTGCGTTTGTTGATGCTTCGCGAAGGTTTGGGTGATGGTTTGGGATCCTTTTGCCTCCGCGACCGGGCGGAAGGCGTGGATCTGATGTGCAGGGGACTTTGAAGGCGCTCTGGTTTTGTGCATCGTGGCGAAGGAGCGGGCGAACTGTTTAGAAGCGATTGGAGGGCGCGACAGGTGCCCAAGAGGCCATTGCTAGATGGGAATTCATCGTCGGATGGTGGGGGGGTTGTGAATAGGCGGCTGGGATCCAGGCGCGACTGAGTCGCGGGGCGGCGCATGTCGCAAGGTAGAGCGGATGGGAGCAACATAATTGCGCAGAGGTGTGGTTATCGCGTGGAAAAAATATTGAGAGACAAAGGAATGTGTGATGGTAAAAAGTGTGGTGGTTGGTCAAGATCGCTGATTGTTATGTGCGCCGGTTGCGCGGGCAGCGCTGGATTTGCGCCGGAGGAGGTCACGTTAAGACCAGGGAGAGACTGGGTGGTGAAATTCAGACCGATAGGAATTTAGATATCAGCGCTTCAATGTCTGCTGATCCGAGTGATGCGACGAGGTGAAAAAGTGCGTTGATAGATAGATGATGAGGGAGTGGGTAGATGGATCAATGTTGGGAAATGAGTGGGAGTGGCGCGGGAAAAGGAGAGGAATGTTCCGCAAACGACAAAGTGCTTTGTCGAACTCCGTTCCAGTGGTTAAGCCACTCCAGAAAACTGGTCTGCAACTATGTCAAAAGAATGACGAAAGAAACCAACTTCCGAGTGCAAGTTTCTCAATTACAATGATGAAAAGTGAAAATGAAGCAAAACGAACTTCCCTCCCAATGAGGCAGGAATGTCTTAGCAAAGAATGACTGATGATTCAAGTCTAATCATATCCCCTCAGGATTTCTTTGCTCTCCTTCTTTCTTTCTACTCAGGGTTGCTGCTGTCTTCTTCTCCCTGTTCCAGGGGAATGGCTCTATTATGAAGGTCTACAAAGACTACAATCTTTCCCCTCTCATCCTCTTCTCGGCTGCAGTGAGACAAGGACAAAAGGGAGTCTTCAAAGAGGGATGCATGAAGCAAGGCATTATCTGAGAGAGCAAGAAACCGCCGAAAAGCCACCCACGAGACGGGTTTATTTTTGACTTTACTGAAGACAGGGTGCGCAACCAGCACCGTCTCACGCCCTTGCTTACCATGCATCATCCCACTTTTTTCCCTGTCAGCATCCGTGACGACATCCTCTTTCGTGGCTCGTGCCGTTGCGGCACGAATGTCGAGCTGCATTGCAGCAGCTGCAATGCATGCGAATTGTCACTTGCAGCATCAATGTTTTTCATCAGAGCGGAGCATGTGTGGCGGTTGGATTCGATATTGGCCAAGCTCTGTAGTAGCCACTTATACAGACCATTATACTATAATGTAATGTTGACTAAACATATCTATGTCATTCTCTATCTTCTACTCACCCCACAACTAGTACAATAACTCCTCGATATACCCTAGATCAAAGATTAGAGTGTAGACCTAGATTCCGTGCTCTCCCATTCTTCCTTGAGGAGCTTCAACATTGATTCATCCCACTCGAAAACCCTTTCAGGGTATGTTTATTAAAGAGCGCCTTCATCCCGAACGTAGAACCGATTATCAGGCAGCTCTTTTGTCCCCAATTGACTCGACTTCATTGGCACATCTCTATACTCCATATTCCTAATCGGGTTATATTACCTCACACACTATCGGAATCGCGAACGCGTCGCGTATCTTCGCGTCACGAAACAGTACGCGTCCGCCAATCACAGGCGGCATTGATAACGCTCCGGCCCGTTGAAGGCTTCAGATGACAAGGTCACGTTATGAACATCAACCCACCACCTGCATGAACGATATTATCGTCGTCTGACTAGGCGAGAAGAAAAACTCGAACAGGAGCCAGCCCCCTGTTCAAGGCGCTGCTGATCCGGTTAATCGTCCGAGAAACTGAAGTGGCTAGATGAATTTCCTCCTATCGTGCGCGATCTTATCAGAGATACGCGGCCTCCTTACTTCCCTGAAGGGCCAAGGGTCGTCACTCCCGCATTCTTGATCGAGGTGCGATGGAACTCAAAACGAATCAGTTGATGCTGCAATTGGCAGTACCTGGGGTTGCATGACTGTCCCTTTCTAATTGTGTCTTGGAGCGTATACAGTTGGTTAGTTTGTCCTGATTCAGATCTATTGGCGTCCTTGTCTTGAGCTGCAACCCTGCCACCACCCGTCACGGACGCGCATTCGGGTAATTGCGGTGCCTTGCGCATACAATCAGGTGGTCCTGATCCTTGATCTCGGGGATTTGGTCGGGGGAATCCACAATGTCGCGTTATCTCGCAGACTGCTGTAACAAATTCTACGAATACGCCACGGTATCACTTGGTGGACGGAACAGTTGCATCGACGTCAGCAGAGATGACAATCCACAGTTCAAGTTCATTAACCAAAGCTGATAAACCTCTTTCTGGAAAAAACGCATCATGTGAATGGTCCTCAAGCAAATAAACTATGGCCCAAACCCTCTCATTGATACTCTATGGGAGTACAGAGGAGTACAGGAACCCAGGAGGTTGGGAAGGGTTACTCACCCCTCATACAATGGTCCAACAATAACTACTTACTATTCGCTCCGGTAGCAGGTAAAACCAAAGGACATAGACTCTGAATCCTAAGGAAAGCTTACTGCGAAACAGCTAAACGCAAAAAAAAAAAACGCCGACCCTTCAGCTGTACCCCCGCCTCCTAGTGGAATCCAAGACTCATGCAAGGGGTATCAGGAACCGGTGCAACCAGATGCGAAAAAATCGCCGCACAGTGGAGAACACACCCACAGGGCACGAGTCTGCAGAACATTCAACGCGCACTTGCATTATCATTCGACAGATGCAAGCCCTTGTATTACCGGTTGTAGTAAGGTCTGATCCCTTTCCGTCTATGATGCCATGCGTAGATCCTTTGTATAGATGATATCCTTTCTCGTGCCTTCGGGTGGCTGGTAAGACTGATTGCTTTCACTCTCTGCTCCTCCAATGGCACGTTTCGCCCATCTTCTTTTTCTTTGGGGTTGTAAACCTCCCTCAAGATCGACCTTCTTTGACTTCCCCCTATCGATAACAGAACAAGACATGTCGAGCGAATATCTTCCCCCCCTGATGTCACCACACATCCCATGTTAATTCTCCTTGACCCCTTTGCCCTCCATTATCTCAAAGCTATCCAATGAACAAGTCCACCATTGTGGCACCTTACATGACACCAAACTGACAACCTCATATCCTCCAATCGAGATTGACTGATTGCCTAGCGCAAAGGAAACAAGTGCCTAATAATAGACCTAGAATTACTAAATCAAGGTATGGAGTACAATCAGGCCACTGAACATCGTTCTTTGAGAGGGGATAGGAGGTGCCTTGAGACCATATACCTCCTTCTCCCTCTTCGCCTCTTCCTAGCTCTCCCTATTGGCAACATGATATGGCTGCCCGAGTTCAGTAGCCCGTCTCAGCCCTTTTGTGGTACACCATATTCTTTTCTCTTCTTTCGGGCCCCTTTGCTAATTTTGCCTTCTCTCCTAATCCCTTCTGGCTATCTTTTGCTCTTTCTGGTCGCCGTATCCTCTGGTCTATTTCTGTCTCATATACTAGCAGCTTTGCTGACGTCGACTCTTGAAGGGAAGTGTATGTCTGAGACAACTCTCAGGGGCGAGGTGCCCGCTTCGACAAAAATAGAATCGATGCGAGTCTGGCTTTGTTGTCTTTCTTTCCTCCTAATTTCTAACCAGAACCCCTTTCTTATTTCCTTCTAAGTTTTCGTTCAACTAGAGTTTAAAGACATGCATGTATGCGTCTTGGTCTAACCGTGCGCTGCGTCTGCGTCGCCTAAACAATAGATTTAGGCCTTAAGGTTGGGCTGTGAAGAACTCAATGCAATGCTTACCCGAGTCTTTTGCTTCATGCCATGCGGGAGATAAACTATTGAAAGTCAAATCACATTCCTATCTGAAGTCTTTCTATTATTAGGTCTTCTTCGTTCAGACTATCTCGGCTCGCTGGACTAAGTGATTTTATCGACTTGATGACTTGCTCTTAGGCAGTTTTGTGGCTTCCCTAAGAACATCCCTTCCAATGTGCTTTTGCTTTTTGATGCAGTGCCCCGTTTGGCGTTTGTCTGCAAGACTTTGAGCCCATTCAATGTAGGATGTGAACCCTTGATTCCATCGTTTGTGAATAGGTATGTATCCGCGTACTGCCCGTTACCAGGCGGATTAAGTCATACCATATCCTGCACTGAAGGTTTGCATATGAGAACTTTGCTCTTGCAAGATAAACTCCAATGGATCTGGGCAGAGGCAATCTCAGTCTTGATTTTTATGTGCATGTCCTGATGGCCTCGTGTCTGCGTGCCCTACCCAACAGTGCGGTGGGAGTTCAGGGTCTGAGAGAGTCGTAGACATGGATGCGGAATGTCCACGACGTAACTCATACTCCTGTGAGACTAGAGGTGTTGGCGAATCTCTTGCCTGAAATGGTATCTCTTCAGCAGCATATGACTGCCCCGAATTGACCCTTGAATACTCGTCAGAGCACAGAGTCTGCATAGGTTTGCTGTCCATTTTCATTAAACTGCCCAGATTGGTGATCAGAGAACCCTTATGCGTACGAGGCTGCCAGCCCCTGATCGCTCGTCGGTATAGAGCATCGAACTCCACCCGATGGGATGGGTTGGTGAACCAATTATGATTTAACGCTTGTTTAACGTCTATGCGCTTCGCTTCATCAAAAACGAGAAGCTTGCGAACAAAGTCCCTCGCGCGCTGTCTGATCTTGTTCCAGTCCATCTCGGCTTCGAGCTTCTCAAGGTCACGTTCCCTCGAGAGATTTGTCGGATCAGTAGTCAATGAGTGCTTAAATGGGATATCTCCGGTCAGGAGAACAGCTGCGACACAGCCCAATGACCACAAATCTACGGCTTTTGTGTAGCCATGCTTGGACTTGAGCATTTCACTATTCATATTTGTTAGCTTCTATAACTAGCTGATTTTGCTTGCGTCATACTAACGGGGCGCTGTAGTCGAATGTGCCGATCAACGTAGACATCCGCTCAACAGTTGGCCGCACAAATCTGGCACATCCGAAATCGGTGAGTACGACTCTGCATCCATCAGCTAGAGATGTCATAAGAATATTATCTGGCTTTAGATCACGATGGACAATTTCCCGTTGATGTAGATAGTCCAAGGCCATCAAGACCTGTCGCACGATGACTGCCGCTTCAATATCGTCTAGCTTTCCGCCCTTATACTGTATGTAGGAGAATAGGTCACCAGCAGTCACGAGTTCTTGGAAGAGGTAACTGTCCAGGTTTAGTTAACTCTAAGAGAAAACATCTAGGAACCTACATTGTATTACTTGACTCGATGACTTTCTCAATACTAATGATGTTGGGCTAACCATGTCAGGGTCGACAAAGGACTTCCAATCGACTTGTGTGTAAGAAACTTACATGACAGAGGCTCTCAAGTATTCTAGCCTCGCGGCTGTATACGTCAAGCCTCTCCTGGATCTTTCTTTGAAGCGATTTCTTGAAAGCACGAGTAACGAGAGACCTGTTTCTGCTGGGGGGAAACGCGTTCTCTTTAAAGTGCCTAGAGTGCTGATCTTCGGCTTCCCTAACAACTTTGTTCTTCAGAGCTCGGAGGTCGACAATCTTACAGGCGAGTTGCTGGCCAGTGTCCCTCTTAAATGCCATATGTACTTGTCCGTAAGCTCCAGATCCCAACTTTTGCGGCGTAACGCTGTACTGGTCTTCAAACACCTGTGCCGCTGATCAGCAAACGCAACACGGCTCACGGGATATAGGGAAGAATACCCTCATCTCTATCATTTGAAGCATGTTAAAGCAGTCTTCTTTTCCCTGTACAGCGCAACAGAAATGGAGAGAGAGCTTCGGAGACAGCCGTAGTACATCACCGTCACTAAGAAGAAAGCTTCCCTTGCCCTTTTCCATAGGGTAACCGTTCCATGAGGTGCCATTCATGGATAAGTCTTGAGCGTATACTAAAGGTGCAACTTCATCGGGGTTTTCTCGGTCGAATATTATTGTGTAGATCCGCAGATGGATGTTGGAGATGACTGGATCGTCCACAACATAGTTACTTAAGCTCAGTCAGTGTTAGGAAGCCTCAATGGAGCAAAATAAAGGGCAACATACCAGCGCCTTTGATCACGACCAACGTATACCTCCGCGTTGCTATATATGGGGAAAGAATTGATAGCCCTTTTAAGCTGTGCATCCCACACTGAAACAGTACCAACAAGGTGAATAGGTGTTGACAAGAACGACATAGTGCAATCAAATAGGAGCGTTGAATGGGTCTAATTGATTACCCGTTGTCTATTTGGTAATGCGATATTACATAGATAACATAGAATTGTGTAGAGGGGGTAGTATGAATGACTTCGTAGGAGTTGTGATTCGTTACTGGAAGAGAGACGTGTCGAGGAAGTTAGAGATCTCGTACATGTCACCTGGTATCAAATCACGACGTCAGAGCACAACCAGCCTTCCATATCGTCCTTGAAGCCGCTAGTGACTATTTAATCTACTATTTATACACACTGAGAAGATATTAATCTAGTCAATATCCGGAAGCTCTAAGTATACCATATGAGGTTTCCTATAACATCAGCATTTTTAAATCTGGTTTCGACCCTTTAAAGCTCGGTTATCCCAAACCATTCTTCGCAAACACACTCGCCTTTCCCAAGTAAGCCTCCACATAGGAGTTCTGGGGGGAAAAGCGTTGTTACAATATTAGCAAAGTGCAGGGCAATTTGGAATATTTCAGAGGATTAGATGACTATAGAAATACTAGTATCAACCCATATTTCAACAGGAAGGTCAATCTACAGCAAGGAAGGTACATTGGCACGTTTTATATTAATCACTAAACACTTCTTTGGAGAGTATATGGCATTGGGTCTAGAATACGTTAAATATAGGACCTGGGATATTCAACTGCCGATCTTTGTCCAAGCTCCTCACGGCAATAACCCTACCTCAACAACCCACCAATCAATGTTTTGAACAGGTTCTTCCACTTATCAGGACTTTATCCAAAACATCCGTGGAGACAAAACACACTATAACATTGAGACAGGACAAGAGTGACCACACCATAATATCTGCCGCTGTGAAACTAGTGTGCCCCTGACCGGAGCTTAGCTGCACCATGACCCGCGGGCTAATCCACCGCCAGTTTCAGGATATTAAGGAATGAAACTACCGACTCACATTGACGGGCCAAACGGAGAAATTTTGTAGATCTAAACCCTTCCACGGGCCTTCTTCGGATGAGCCTGTCTACCATATAAATGCAAGTAAGCCCCAGGGTGCAAGCTTTACTTCTCTGTCCTCTCGCCCCATACGGAAAACAAACCAGTCCATCACAAGTTCGAAATTGAAAATGCGCGGTCTCAGAAGCCTTGCCTCCCTCGCCGTTTTCGGCTTGGCTCAAGCCCAGGATAACATCGTCTTTGGCCCTGCGTTCTCCCTCGGCCCTACCAAGTCATGGATTCGTGAAGCGACTACTACGCTGGTGCTGCCCGAAGCACCAAGCCCTCAGGAAGATCGCCTTGCACTCTGGCCAGGAATGGGAACTAGCGGCGGTGACCTGATTCAGGCTCTTGCTGTTTCTTTCTCAGACCCTGCAGCGTGAGTGCTTAGACTGAAGAATAATTTGCTGTGAAACAACTCAAGTCACACATACTAATCAATTTCCATACAGAAACTGCGGCGCTAGCTCCGGCCAATGGTGCACATGGGCAAGCACTCTTCAGGGTAAAGGATGAAAATAAACAGATATAGAAGTGCATAATGCTGAGCGGAAACAGGAACCCAACTGGGCGGGAAACAAGTTCCGGCCTCTGCAGGTGACAAGCTTGTCATGCATTGTAAGCTACACTGTGCTCGCACCCCGTTTGAAGCTAATCAAAGACAATGTAGACAAGTACAACGATAGTACCGGCAAATATGACCAGACAGTGACCATCAACGGCAAGGTCGTCTCGAGCCTCTCAACTAGTAAGTTCATAGTTCTTACTCCTTCGTAATCGCAATGACTGACACCGCGAAGACTCTGGCCAGGCCCAAGGATGGGGTACTGCCGTTGAGGCCCAGGACAACGCCTCTAAGAGCACTGTTGCTGCGCACCGTAAGTACTACCATATCTCAGCGTCTTCCTAAGAAAGAGAACTAAACCGTTGTACAGAGTACCTTGATACTACCATCATCCTCGATGCCGCTGACCTTACCTTCCGTGATACCCTCGGCCTCACCGATGCTGACTCCACTGGCTTGGCGACCTCAGACAATGGCAAGACCTGGAAGGTGGCTACCATCAACATTCATGAGCACTCTTTCTAAGACTTGAAAAGGGCGTTGTGTATATGTACCAAAGGACGTTTTCGTCCCTCCTATATATTCTCATTGTCGTTCTGGCCATGATATATTGTACATAGGATTGACGAAAGGTGTTGCTTTCCTTAGACGAAGATAAAGTTGTTTACCCTGACGGTGATTTGCCTCAAATTATATTGCAAACAGGCTTATTCGGTGGAGATGGAGAAGTGGGGTAAGGCAAAGCCTACTTCTCGTATCATGTCAATACATACATCTAGAAAGCGACTATCTCTTTATATTCGTCTATATCATTCGTAATAAAATGGCATACCTTTTGTCTTGCGCATCGTGCTCGAAGAATGAGGCCCGACTTGCTCTATCTATCAATTGCAACTGGTAAGTGCTCATTACTTCCCTTGCATCCGCTTGATACGTTCTTCAGCTGCCCGTGCCCGACGCTCTCTTTCCAATCGCATCCTCATTTCTGGCGTCATGCCACGCATCTCTTCCTCCCGTTTCTCGGAAGCAGTCTTCTCTACAGATCCTAAGGCTCTACCACCCGAGCGCTTTGCTTGTAAAGCTTCCTTGGCGGCATCTTCCATCTTCAAGCGATGTAATTCAGCTTTACGTCGGTTTTTCTCTTCTTCCTCTGCAGCTTTCTGCTCCCTTTCGGCCCTGCTGTCAACGTCGGCTTTTGAAATTGCCGATGGCACCTTGGCGGCCTCCCAGTTCCATTTCGACTCGCCAAGTTCGTGACGGGCGACGCGGAAGGCATCACGCGTGGCCCGATCACCTGCGAGCTCAAAGGGTGTTCTCTCTTCACCATTGATGGTTGTCGGGTCTGCCTCCGCTTTGGTAAGAAGGGCAGAAACCATCGCTGGCGAATTAAGGTTTGATGCGAGATGAAGAGCCGTAGGGCAACGGAAATTCTGCTGAGAATCTGAGGGTTGGAATGTGAAGGAAGGGGGAATCGAGTTCTTAGAGAGATACGACATCAATGCCGGAATTTTAGAGCGACGGATGAGTGCCTGTATTTGGGTTGTATGAAGCATGGCAGCTTCGTCCTCCTTAGACACTTTTGGCTTTTGCTGTTGAGGCCGTGGAGTAGATGGCTTTGATTTTTCTTCTCGTGGTTTGGCCTCAGCTGCTGCAAGAGCAGCTTCATCAATCTGACTCACTTTTACGCGAGTCAGTTCCTTGAAGCATCTCATAAGTTCTCCTTGAGTAGCGCGGCGTGTGCTGAAGGGGAACCCTCTCAACCTAGGATCGTTCTGTCTCAGAACCTGACCATCATACTGACTGAACAAAATCCGCCGATTTGTACTGCCTGTGGCCCGAACAAAGAGCAATTGGGAATTATCAATCATATTCCTCCATTCCGATAACAGTTCTCTAATCTCCTTCTCCAGCGCAGCCTCATTGTAACGTCTTAGGCTAGAACCAGCCGAATGTGCAGCTCCTCTAGCAGCATCGCTAGCAGATTGTGATCCTCCCTGTTTTCGCCTAGTTGTATAACGATGGAACGTTTTGTGCGCGATCACTCGAGCCTGCCTCTCGTCTACGCCGCCTTGTTTTCGATGAATCTCAGGAGCCAAGGAAACAATCATTGCCGCAAAGTGACCACCACCGATCATACACAGGAATACATGTGGGCTAGATGATGTAGAAGGCCCTTGATTCTGGCCATTATTCCGTGGTGCGTTGATGGGAGCTAGTTGTTTCTTCCTCAGAGAATCAACTAGGTATCTAGGCTCTTCCTGTTCAGCATCAGAGAACAAAGCCCTATATACACCTAACGAAGTGTTGGACGGTAGCAGAGAGCTCGAAAGCCAGAATAAAGGATGCTTTCCGGTCCGCTTCTTCGATGGCGCATCCTCTTCTTCACCTGTTTGCGAAATTTTCGCTTGCCTTTTCAACAAGGCAGTGAGCTGCGTCCCGGCATCTTCATCCTCCTCCGATGACGACTCGGATCCAGAAATCGATTCGTCCAACTCCCCAACAGCCTTGTTGAACTGAACCTCGTCCAAGGTGGGATTGCCTCGAAGTTGGGCCTTAAGATTGTACCGATGGTGATCTGACCGGACGTGGCCTCGCTGCTCTTGGACGTTCAAGAAAGACACATTGCAGAGAGCGCAAGAGGTAGATGTAGCAACCGCATATTCTTGTACGGTATCTTCGGGCTTTTCAGGTGTATTAACTGCATTCTCTGACGTATTTATCGCATCATCCTCGTTTTTGGCGCTTAAGGTTGCGAGTAGTTGCTGCGGAAGATCATACACTAGATATGGGAGTTAGTGACGGAATTTTATGCAAAACAGAAAGCGCAGCACGGAACGAAGTCAAAAGAAATACGGACCATACAGCGGCCTCTTTAGGAGCTCTTCCGCGATAGAAGCTTCCGTGGCCATATTGACTAAATTATGTACAAGCGATGAGTTGCGCTGATGAAATCGCGGAGCGCAACGCAATGGCAGAACAAATGCCCCTCTTGTTGGAGCTTTACCGCCTTTAAGGCACCAAATAAAGAATATTCAATGTACGGAGTACTCCATCTTGTATTAAATCTGCGACCATTGAAATGTGTGACGTAAAGTTCGATCCACAGGTGTAATTTTGAGTCACAGTGACTCAATCCACTCTGCGGAGTAAAATATCTTAACGGCTCTATTATTGGCTGGCCGATTTTTATACGTAGTAGACTACTGAAAGTATACTAAACTCTCATGAATCTGCCTTGGCTCGTTTATGTTTACTCCTCGGCTGATGGATATAGCGATACAGTCTCTCGCTCGGCATATTGTACTTATGTAACGCATAGTAATCCGATCCATTCATAATAATATCACATTGTTCCTAGTCGAATTAGGTCTTTCAATCATATATGCTTAACGTTGGATACAGTCGTTACACATGACCATTATCAGGTTCGGATAATATATACCTACTACCTAGAGCTCTTCAAGCCTTTGAATCTGGAAGACGATTTGGCGTGCTAGGAACTTATGAGTCTAGATGACAGGAGCAATCACAGCTTTCGACTTTTAAAATAGAATTATGTGACATAAAAGAAACCTACCTTTATTCCACTATATCACGGCCCTATCAATACTTTCGGCAGAGCTACATCTTGTATCGGACAACCGCATACTCAAGAGCTATATCGGCGCCCTTGGGTTGGATATCAGCAACCTAGTATTATCAACTACGCTGCCAAAAAAAAAAAAGAAAGAAAGAAAGAAAAGAAATAGAAAAGAAAGGAAAGGAAAAAGAAAAGGAAAGGAAAGGAAAGGAAAAAGAAAAAAAAGAGAGAGAGAGATTGTATGTAGACATTTTACATTGGATGAGAACATCTTCAAAGCTTTTTGCTTTGACCTGATGGCATGTAAAGTATGATTGAATGCAGAACTAATACTCACGATATATATATATACACATTCATATCCACTCAATATCTAAGTGAACTGGGATCGATCCTACGTGATTACTGCGATTCACCAATTGCCGGTTCACTTGAGGTTCATGCCCAGCTAAGTTATCTCATCAATATATTCGCCATCTTCTTATCAGCTCGATCATCACAGTCTAGACAATATAAATAATCGAGTCTTCGTTCTGAATGTCATTGATGGATGTGGTAATTAATGCCGAGCACTGGGCTGATGGCGCTTTGCCTGTTCTGGCCTAGTTTGTCATCATGCTGCTAACTCCGTAATCAATTTCCATTTGCAGCCTCTTCGTATTCGTTCATAATCTAAGCAATTGCAATTTGTAAGCAAACCCATCTGTTTCGCACCCGGAAATGAATGGTATACCCCGGAAAAATTACTGGCCTGCGATTGGGATTCTAGAATGCTTGACTCAAAGAATTTTTGAGTCACTTCATGACGTACGGGAGGCTTTGAAGATGCCAAGACATGCAATCGCCCGGCTTATGTCATAAGCACCGAACGCAAATGTCACGCACGACGAAAAGAAGGCAAGGGAACAGAGCCTTGAGATTGAAGGAGGGAAAATCTCTTTACGAATCCACTCCAATGACTAGACTGCAATGGTCATAGGAGGAGAAATAGTAAGGTAAGCTAGGCGGAATTCCGCATCTCCGGCAAAGTCCTATCGGTTTATCGCCGAAGCTTAGGCCGTCTCATTTAGTAAGCAGCTTGCAGCTCACAAGAGGATTGGCCTCGCAGTTATCATCCTCGATCAGAAAGTTCTCCCCACCCGCAATCGCGTCCATCATTTGCGTGAGAGCACCCAGGGAGTTTTTCTGACTCCCTCTTCCTTCCTTGTGGGTTGAAAGGAATAGGGATTCTGCAGTCGGGGTTAGAAGATGCTTGAAGGCAACTCCCAGGCGATCCTCGGGGATTCTGCCCCGGGACCGTCAACCCTGAAGTCAGCATTGCAATCACCTAAACTCGAGCCTTTCTGCGGCAATGTCGAAGGATGGGGACCCTTAAGCAAATTCAGGTTTGACCTGACGCCCTGTTTCCTAGACCTTGGGGTGGCTATTGTTGCAACATGGGGCTTAATCATGGGAGCAGGTGCCATTTGGTTTCTGCTCAAAAAGCGAATCCCCCAACCCGTGTCGAAGAATTGGCATTTTTACGCTAAACTGGTCGGTTTCGGCACTCTTTTGGATCAAGTCATCTGGAACTAACCTAACTTCTAAAATAGATCGTGCTATCCGCTCTGATATTCACAACGGCTCTTCAAGCAGCGATTCAAGTCGAGACTTTTGCGAATAACTGGTTGGCTGATGTTCGGTTTTGGAGTTCGATTGTTGTCTTTGCTTCTCTATGTGTGATATTCGCAGTCCAATACTACGAGCATTGGCGGAGTAGGCAACCTAACGGTGTTGTTCTCTTTTACTGGCTTTTCTTTACCATCGCGTATGGAATTAAGTTGCGCTCGCTTGTTGCACAAAAGACCTATGAGGACAACCTGCCATACTTCGTTTGCTTCAACATAAGCTTAGGGCTTGCGCTACTGGAATTTGGGCTGGAATACCTCGTTCCCAAGAAGCAGAG